GTAGTGAATGCTGCAGGTGCAACAGATGTAGTAGTGAATGCAACAGATACAACAGCGGGTGCTACAGCGGGTGCAACAGGTGCTGCAGGTGCAACAGATTCAGCAGGTGCTACAGCGGGTGCTGCAGGTAGATTCTTCACTGCACAATGACCATATCCGCGTTGACAATTCTTGCCACACGAGCTGGTTTCTCTGCTACAGGCTCCGTATTTGGAGCAGCACAGATTGTCTGGACAAATGGTTTTGGCTTTTGGACCGCATCCAAAGTTACTGGATACAGGCAGATTTAAGATTCCCTCGTTGCTTGTAACAAACGGAGCTGATTTGGGTAAAACTAATCATTTATTTACTCGTGAGTATCCCAATCAACAGTATATACAACCATACATATTGTTGTTTTACCTTGAGCGCTACAAACAGCGGCAAACGCCAACACGCTGACTTTAAGCATAAGCATGATGAATTCTATATGCAATCAATCAAAAATCCGTAGTTGAAATGGTTGACTGCGAACAATATCCTGATATTGCGTTGGGGATGATGACCATTTAAATGTGTAAAACACTGAAACGGTCACCCTAAATCCCAGTATTGTAACCGTTCAAATATCCGAAACAAACTCGCCCTTTTCCAGTGTATGCAGCCAATATGCTTTGACCTGCGCACTCAGGAATCTTGAAAAGGGTTTTTGATGACCGTTGATAATAAGGGTGTGTGATCAGGGTTCTGGAGTAAGACAATGTCAATCAGCTGTGACAAAGTCGACAGCGGAGATTACCAACGAGTCAAAAACACCAAAATTTACAGTCTAAAATAAGCAATATAGTATAAACTGATTAGCCAATCATGACAGATTTGCTCAACAACGATTTGTGGAGTGCAAGATGACACGCCAACTGCCAACCAAGTCAATCAAGTCATGCAAGCTTAATGACTGCATGTTGTCGGCTATAAATTAATCTGTTCGTATCTATAGCATCTGTTCCTGGACCAACTTATCCCAATCGTCATTTCTTCCATTGTGCTACTGCTGCTGGCTATACTGCCAACAATGGTGCTTTTCTTGGTGTTCCGTGCCGTACAATCTACGAAAATATGGCCGATCATGGAAACTCGTACAAGTTCTATTCTCCTCAACTCAAGTCTACACCACTGTTGTACCGCAATCTGCGCAACATTTACAACTGGATGAGAATCAAAAACATGAGCACGTTTTTTGAAGATGCCAGAGCCGGTTCACTACCCCAATATTCGTTTATTGATCCTGATTGGCTCAAAAACGACAACCATCCTCCAAACAACCTGCATGCTGGCGAGCAATATGTCAAAGACATATACGAAGCCATTCGTGCCGGTCCTCAATGGAAAAACACTGTATTTGTACTGACATATGATGAAAATGGTGGTTTTTACGATCATGTTGCACCACCAACTTGTGTTCCTCGACCCGACAATATCAATCCCGACTCGAATGTTGGAGATTTCCAGTTTGACCGTCTTGGTCCTCGTGTGCCAACAATCATCATTTCACCATATGTCAGCAAGGGTGCAGTTTATCACTCTGATGACACGAGTCGTTTCTTTGAACACTCGTCAATCCCAGCTACTCTCAAAAAACTATTTAACCTTCCCAACTTCCTTACACCGCGTGATGCAGCAGCTCTTACATTTGATGATGTTATTTCATTGAGCGAACCACGTACCGACTGTATTCAAACTCTTCCCACTGTATAATGCATTGGGTTATGTAGATTGTCATATACATTCATGGATGCAGTACTTGCCGACTGTTTTGATGGCAATACATACGCAACATGTATGCAGTAGTCTATTGACAGCATCACTAGATGATCTGATGTAGATCCGTAAATCTGATTGAATCACAATTTACCATGTCCATCATAAATTCAGAATCTCACATTTAATCTGAAATTCCCAATGAATAATCATAAACCCAAAACTATTTTTAATGAATGATTTATTTCACTTGATGCTATCAGTCCACATGCACAATACTTTTTAGATTGATTATAGTTGTCGTGGATAGTAATAGTATAGAAACCAAAGTAAAAAATGCATCAAACTCAAGCCAGTTTCTTGAAGTCACGAACACGATACCAGCTTTTGGGATTAGGTTGGCCCAGGCACTCACCAACGGTGACAAAAGTGTATCCGAGCTTACGATACTTTTGAACGATTGCCTGAATACCAGAATGGCCGTTTTCAACCCACTCATTATGAAGCGTGATGAACGAATGAGTCTTGGGACTAGCCCCACGATGGTGGCTAATAGACTTGTCGAATTCGATGACCGCCTGTGTACCTGGATTACCTGCACCGTCAATGTCCGAGTCACCGCTATCCACATTATGCGAAACGACAACATATCCCATTCCAACAAGCTGCTTGATCACCTTTGGTCCTTGTTCATTATGAGGGGTTCGCATGTAGACTGGACTGAGGCCAATTGTTTGCTGAATCATCCAGTCATTATTAGACATCTCCAATGAAATATCAAGAGGCGAAAGTTGGGAAAGTTTGGAATGGCACAGAGTTCCAGATCCAACTTGATGGCCCTCGCTATAGATTCTCTTCACAATGTTTCGTGCTCCATCATAGTGCATATTGTTGGCGTTGAATCCATTAACAAAGAATGTTGCACGAACACCAGCACTCTTGAGTGCATCGAGAACTTTTGGAACGTTACCAGAATCAGTACCTCCTTCGAATGTTATGGCAATCTGACCAGGGTTTACGCAACGGGTATGAGCTCCGAGATAATTCTTGTGACTGGGATGGGCTGGAACGGGTGCTGGAAGCTTCGTGATCGGAGGCTTGCAGATACCAAACAGGCCTTGGCATCCAATACCGCAATGAGAGGTTGAAGTTCCACATTGACCATCACGCGAGCAACAGAATCCTTTCGAGCACACTTTGTTGTATTGACGTCCACATCTTTTATCTCCGGACTTGGTGAGCAGAGCCTTGACAGCAGGGCTAAGGGTTTTTCCACATTCACCATACAAGGGATTGCATTGGGATACGCAGTGCGAAACATCCGATCCACAATAGCCGTACTCGGAGCAGCATAGCGATCCCTTGCATCTGCCATGTTTTGGTCCACATTGACCAGTTTTCGACAGGACTTTTGTCCAGTCCGTAAGTTTCGTCGCGGGAGCAGCCTTTTGAACAGAAGCCACCTTTTTTGCAATTGCCTTTTTAGCAACAGCCTTTTTAGCAGCCGACTTTTTTGGAGCAGCAGCAGTCTTTTTAGTAGTCTTTTTAGCAGCAGTCTTTTTTGGGGCAGCAGTAGTCTTTTTAGCAGCAGCCTTTTTAGCAACAGCCTTTTTAGCAACAGCCTTTTTAGTAACAGCCTTTTTAGTAACGGTAGACTTCTTTAAAGTGTACTTTTTCAAAGCGGATTTCTTTGTAACTCCCTTCTGAGCTTTAGTGGAGCTAGCCCCAAGCTGGGTTGCCTTCTTTGCTGCACAATGGCCGTACTTTTTCTGACAGCCTACGCCACACGCACTAGCACTCCTGCTGCAAACACCGTTTTTGGAGCAGCACAGACTGCCTGGACAAACGGTTTTGGCTTTTGGACCGCATTTCAGATTTCGAGACACGGGCAAAGACAAGAGTCCAGACTTGGTTGTACTCAGAGAAGAGGTACGTTTGGATGCAGCTAATCATGTATTCACTCGTGAGTATCCCAATCAACAGTATATAAAATCAATCACGTTCATTGTTTTACCTTGAACACTGCAAACAGCAACAACAGCCAATACGCTGGCTTTAAGCATGATCATGATGAGTTTTATAAGTAATCAAATAAACTTGTATTAGAGTGACTAGAGTGATTGACTGCGAATAATATCCTGATATTGTGGTGGGAATGATGGCCATTTAAATGTGTAAAACACTGAAACGGTCACCCTAAATCTCAGCATCGCAATCATTCAAGTATCCGAAATAAACTCGCCCTTTTCAAATGCATGCAGCCAATATGCTTTGACCTGTGCATTCAGGAATTTCAAATAGGGTTTTTAGCGGCCGTTAACAATGAGGGCTGGGGTTCTGGAGTAAGACAATGTCAATTAACTGTGGCAAAGTCGACTGAGTAGAGATTACCCAGAATTAAAAGTACCAAAAATTACAAGTGTAAACACGGAGTGTAAAGTGATCCATTTGTATTACATTTATCACAAATTTTGTATACTTGAATCTTGAAGTTACCATTGCTTCAGCAGAGTATACATAATAAACGATTGTTTTTAAAACTGCTAGCAATTAACAATTAATAATTAATGATGATTGATCATTCATACTAGTTTGTCGATATGGTTCATAAATGAATAGGGCTGGAAAGCTTTATCCGAGCTGGTTTAGCATATTAGCGGCAACTTTTAGGTCTCGACTCCTAAATTTCATCATAGCCCAATCAACTATATAGGGTAATCAAGTATTGCAGCTGTGTAGCACGCAAAAATATTACAGTATCTGATGTGCGAAACCCAGCTTGAATGAGATTTCCAACACCCACAATTTATGAATCAAGTTGCTAGCAAGTAATAGCCAAATGTTATATGATGATCCTTAACCATTACTACTAGTTTGTCAATATTAAAACCTGCTTATCATTTATACTCTGCTGAAGCAATGGTAACTTCAAGATTCAAGTATACAAAATTTGTGATAAATGTAATACAAATGGATCACTTTACACTCCGTGTTTACACTTGTAATTTTTGGTACTTTTAATTCTGGGTAATCTCTACTCAGTCGACTTTGCCACAGTTAATTGACATTGTCTTACTCCAGAACCCCAGCCCTCATTGTTAACGGCCGCTAAAAACCCTATTTGAAATTCCTGAATGCACAGGTCAAAGCATATTGGCTGCATGCATTTGAAAAGGGCGAGTTTATTTTGGATACTTGAACGGTTACAATGTTGGAACTTTTAGGGTGACCGTTTCAATGTGTTTTACACATTTAAATGGTCATGATCCCCAACGCGATATCAAGATATTGTTTGCGGTCAACCACTTCAACTACGGATTTTTGATTGATTGCATATAGAATTCATCATGCTTATGCTTAAAGTCAGCGTGTTGGCGTTTGCCGCTGTTTGTAGCGCTCAAGGTAAAACAACAATATGTATGGTTGTATATACTGTTGATTGGGATACTCACGAGTAAATACATGATTAGTTTTACCCAAATCAGCTCCGTTTGTTACAAGCAACGATGGAATCTTGAATCTGCCTGTATCCAGTAACTTTGGATGCGGTCCAAAAGCAAAAACCATTTGTCCAGACAATCTGTGCTGCTCCAAATACGGAGCCTGTAGCAGAGAAACCAGCTCGTGTGGCAAGAATTGTCAACGCGGATATGGTCATTGTGAAGTGAAGAATCTACCTGCAGCACCCGCTGTAGCACCTGCTGAATCTGTTGAACCTGCAGCACCTGTTGCACCTGCAGCACCCGCTGTTGTATCTGTTGCATTCACTACTACATCTGTTGCACCTGCAGCATTCACTACTGAACCTGTTGAATCTACTACTGAATCTGTTGCATCTGCAACATCCACTACTGAATCTGTTACACCGGTTGAATCTATTGAATCTGTTGCACCTGTTGAATCTGCAGCACCTGTTGAATCTGCAGAATCTGTTGCACCTGCTGAATCTACTGAACCTGCTGCACCTGTTGAACCTGTTGAACCTGCTGAATCTATTGAACCTGCTGCACCTGTTGCACCCGCTGTTGCACCTGCTGCTGAATCTGATATTGTTAATGATTCTGATCTTGTTGACGATTCTGATCTTGTTGATGATCTTGATCTTGCACCTGTACCTGTTGAATCTGAACCTGCACCTGTTGAATCTGATGTTGAGCTTGATGATTCTGATCTTGTTGACGAGTCTGATCTCGTTGATGATACTAAGCATGTACCTGTACCTGCACCTGCTGCTGATACTGATACTGATTCTGAACCTGAGCCTAGCGAGATTCAGGAACAACAAGATGAAGATGCAGGATCATCCGATAAAGACTGGACAAAAGTTATTTCAAATAGCGATGAATG